CAGTGAGAAGAGGTGAGAGGCATTGAGAGGCGGCGAGAGGCAGTGAGAGGCAGTGACATGCAGTGAGAGGCAGTGAGAGGAAGTTAGAGGCAATGAGAGGCAGTGAGAGGCAGTGAGAGGCGGTGAGAGGCAGTGAGAGGCGGTGAGAGGCAGTAGAGGCAGTCAGTGAGCAGAGGCAGGCAGTCAGAGGCAGGGCAGGAGGAAGTGAGAGGCGGTGAGAGCCGGTGGGAGGCAGTGAGAGGCAGTCAGTGAGCAGAGGAAGGCAGGGGTTACATAACACCTGGAGTTACAGCATCCATATGAAAAACTCATACAAAAATTATGTGTGAATCAAGATTATTTGACAAAAGCTGCTCATCTTTATCAACTAGGTACCTACTTTGCGGGCTGGTACAGTTTGTTATATGTCACATCACCCTAGGCCCTCTTAAAGCTAGTTAGGCCAGGTGAGGTCGCAACATTTTCCGCAAGGCCATTCCAGATGACGATGAGAATACATTGGGTGGAGAAAGGTCGGTCGCGCGATCTCGGCGGGGTCCAATCAGCTGACAACGTACCGAGCGCGCCAACTACGCCGCCTGCTACAAACCGCCGAAACTTGAGGCGTGGAAACGCGGCGTCGGTGGAAAACTGTGACGATGTGGGTGTGGTGAGTGGTAAGGCAGCCTCTGAGGAATCAAAAACTCAAGATAACGGAGGTAAGCCCGAGACAGATGAGTCTTTAAATGATTCTGAGTCCTCTCCAGGTGCTTCAGCCACCAAGAAGGTGGGTAAACTAGGGGAAAGTGCTTATAGGCCATTCGGATCCGGAGCTAGCACGTCCACATCCATTTCAAGATCTTCTAGTGACTCAGGGAGTGAGACAGCATACTGCAGGGGTGGCCCCAAGAAACATACATGTGGAAACCTAGTCAAGTACGGAGACAAGGGCGTAAAATGTGACAGGTGTGGATTGTGGTTCCATGCAGGCTGCCAGGGCATCTCGGATGGGGCCCTGAAAGCACTGGACAGCTTCAAGGAAGAACTGGCATGGCTGTGTGACCTATGCAAAGTCATTGTCCATGATAAAGGTCAGGGGCAACCTGCTACTCCCTCCCTGACCAAGCTTGAAAACCGAGTCGAAGAAATAGGAGAGACTATCCGTACTCACATGAAAGTGATAGTTCAGTCCCTAAAGGGTCAAGAAAAGACCATGAGTGACAATGCCAAGCTGGTTGAAAGATGTGTCAAAGAGGAGCTGAAACAGAAGGCAAGTTATGCTGATATGGTTAAGGGTTCATGTGAGAGTGTCGTTAAAGAGGTCACCACCAGGATCAGTACTCTTCCCAAACAGTCTGACTCCTCAAACCCTTCTGCCCAGGATATCTCAAAAGTCTTTGACAACTTCCTTGATAAAGAAAAGAGAAAGTTAAATGTTGTTGTTCACAACCTTCCGGAGACTGAGGCTGAGACGCTTAGTGAGCGTTCCCGGGGCGACCAACAAAAGTTCCAGGGTTTAGTCAGGGACTGCTTTAGACTCAATATCCACACTTCCCGATCATTCCGGGCAGGTAAGAAAACGGAAGACAAGCCACGTCTCCTCATCCTCACGCTAGAGAATGTTGAAACAAAGCTGGAGGTCCTGAAGATGGCTCCACTGTTGCGGAACCACCCCGAGTGGAAGAACATCTTCATTACCCCAGATCTCTCCAGAAAGGAAAGAGAAGAGGGAAAGAAGTTGAGAGAGGAACTCATGGCACGCAGGCAGTCAGGGGAGACAAACCTTGTGATCAGGAAAGGGAAGATCGTGATGGCCACCGCCACCCAGATGCGTCAGCCCGTGGAGCACCCAGCAAGGATAGTTGATGGAAGAAGTGCAGCACCAGATAACACTACAGTTCAAGTTGAAAATGCCTGTCCCAGACCTCACAACAGTGCCACTCAAATGTCTGCTGCAGCGAGAGCTGTGAACCAAGATTGACTAAATCCCGGCCAAGAACGGATGAGGTCCCACAGGCCTAGATCAGCAGAAACGGCACTTAAAATTCTTTACACCAACACCGATCAGTTTCTTAACAAACGAGACCAACTCTGCATGATGATAGCCAATGATGAACCAGATGTTATTGTTCTGAATGAGGTCATACCGAAAGCACAGCGACTTCCCATTGACCCTGCGCTTCTTTCAATAGCTGGTTTCAACATGTATGTTAATTTCGATCTCATGGAAGCTGATCTTGGTGCCAGTGGGACAAGGGGGATATGTATCCTGATTAACAGCAAGCTGCACTCAAATGAGTGTTTGTACCAGGGCAACACTTTCAGGGAACAACTCTGGTTGAGAGTGAAATTAAAAAGCTCTGATCAGCTCATCATCGGATGTATATACCGCTCACCATCAAGTGATCCTCATCAAAGTATTGAGCAGCTCAGCAAGCTGTTGATGGATGTGACCAACAGCAAGCCCTCGCACCTCCTCATAGTAGGTGATTTTAATATCCCGCACATTAACTGGGATCTGAAAAGTTCTCAGGAACCGCTTTCACATGTATCTCACTCATTCCTGGAGATGGTGGACGACTGTTATCTCACCCAGCACGTCAAGGAACCGACAAGGTACAGGGAAGGTCAGCTCCCCAGCCTGCTTGACCTTGTCCTTACTAATGAGGAAGGCATGGTGAGGGATATGAGATACCTAGCACCCCTTGGCAACAGTGACCATGTGGTCTTGAGATTTGTTTTGACCTGCTACACCATTCGCAAGCTACCTCAGGATGGGAAGCTCAACTTTGCTAAAGGGAACTACGACCAGATGCGAGTCCTCCTTTCTGAGGTCAATTGGACTGCCATGCATGATAGGAACGTGCAAGGTGCCTATGACTTCTTCAAGGAGACTCTGCAGAGGGTTGTGGACATTACAGTGCCCAAAATGAAACTGAATGGGAAGAAGAGAAACTTGTACATGAACCGACGTGCATTGAAACTAAGGCGCAAAAAGGAAGAACTATGGGGGATATACAAGCAGTCTAAAGACCCCATCGACTTTGCTCGCTTCAGCCGCTGCAAGAACGAACTGCGGGCCCTTACTAGGAGCCTGCGGAGGGAGTTCGAGAGGAAGCTCATCGTTGAGGCAAAAGCTGACCCAAAGTGCTTTTGGAGATATGCTAACTCGAGGCTCAAGACTAAGAGGGGGGTTGAAGACCTGCAGGATGACAAGGGAGCACTGATCAGCGATGACCGTGGAAAAGCTCAGCTCCTCAACGATTACTTCACATCAGTCTTCACATCTGAGGACCTCTCCACTGTTCCTCCGCCATTCCCTGTCGCCAATGGGTGCAGCCTACAGTCAGTCTGTATCACCGAGGACATCGTGAAAAGTAAGCTGAAGGGGCTCAAGACATCAAGCTCACCCGGCCCTGACAACACTCATCCGAGAGTACTGAAGGAAGGAGCCGAGTTCTTGGCCAAACCGCTGGCCATCATCTTCTCGAAGTCCCTGGATAACACCTGCCTGCCAAATGACTGGACTCTCGGGACCATCGTGCCCATATTCAAGAAGGGAAACCGGCAACTGCCAAGAAACTACCGGCCAGTCAGTCTCACTGCCATTCCGTGTAAAATCCTCGAATCAATCATAAAGGACGAGCTCATGGAACATCTGTCGGCGGGTGACTTGCTGGCTTCAGGGCAGCATGGGTTCAGGTCCAGAAGATCGTGCAACACTCAGCTTCTAGAGGTCATCAACGAATGGAGCCTGATCATTGAGCAAGGCGATCCCATTGACACTCTGTACATGGACTTCCAGAAAGCCTTCGACTCCGTCCCACACGAGCGCCTACTAAGCAAGCTCCAGAGTTACGGTGTGACGGGTAAATTGCTGAACTGGGTGAGGGCATTCCTGACTGGTCGTCAGCAGCAAGTTGTTGTTGGTGGACAGGCTTCTGCATGGGCCCCTGTCTCCAGTGGAGTTCCCCAAGGCTCCGTGCTGGGTCCTACACTCTTCATCCTGTTTATCAATGACCTCCCTGAAGCAGTACAGAGTTCTGTGAAGCTGTTTGCGGACGATACGAAGATTTACATCAACGTGTCATCTATCTCTGGGCCCATCCAGCTCCAGAAGGACCTCGACGCAGCCACCACTTGGTCCGACACCTGGCAGATGCCATTCAACGCGGCAAAGTGCAGCTCTCTCCATATTGGGTCCAGCAATGGTCGACATGTGTACAACATGAAAGGAACCGCTCTTAAGCAGTCCGACTCGGAAAAGGACCTGGGCGTACATGTTGATTCAGCTCTGAAATTTCGTGAGCAAGCTGCCTCGGCCGCTTCGAAGGGCAACCAAGTGCTGGCACTGATCAGGAGATCCTTCGAAAACATCGATTCAGAGTCTCTCCCGCGCCTCTACAAGACCCTCGTGCGTCCTCATCTGGAGTACGGAAATGTCATCTGGGGCCCTTTCAACAGAGCTGACCAAAAGCTGCTGGAAAGAGTGCAGAGACGGGCCACAAAGCTCGTCCAAAACATCAAGGATCTGCCATATCCACAGCGCCTCTGCCACCTGAAACTCCCCAGCCTTTACTACCGGAGACGCCGAGGGGACATGATAACCATCTACCAACTGATGAACGGAGGACTTGACGTCGTTCCTGATCAGTTCTTCTCGCTGGCGAACAACACCACTACCAGAGGACACCCACTGAAGCTCAAGAAGCCGCAGGCCACCTCCAGAGTCCGAAGGAACACCCTGGCAGTCCGAGCAGTCAACGATTGGAACTCGCTCCCCTTGCACGTTGTCCTCTCGTCCTCCACCAACCAGTTCAAGGCCCGCCTCGATAACCACTGGAAAGACATCTTCTACATCATCCCTGATTAAGTTCGTGCTTGTCCTCACATGCCCGCGAGCTCGGTGAGATCGGGACCTCTCAGGCCAAGTGGCCTTCAAAATTCCCGCTATCGGTAAGGTAAGGTAAGGTAAGGAAAGATTGTAGACGAACATCTGGTGTAGCATGTGGCACGCATACCTTGTGACAATAGCCTTGATTACAGTTCCAAAATTGGATTGTCTGCACATAGGAGCCTTCCTGCAACTGAATACAGAGGGGTGTTCGCGGGCACCGTTAACTGCTGAGTTCACTGTGTGTGGTATGTACAGCAAGCTTAGGGGTAGGGGAAGGGTAACCGGTTCTGATGTCACAGCTGCATGCCATGCGGTGGACGGCCTGTGGCTAGTCCCGACCGACCACAGCGGTTGCTGTGTGCAGTGACGGAAGAATGGCTTAGGGACGCAGTGGGCGGAGCTTAGAGCTTGTGTATGGTCCGACTGCACACAGGGCCCGTGAACAGCCCTCAGATAGGTCATAGGTATGCATAGGTTTCAAAAGTACCTATAATAATCAGCTAGCATAAAAACTCATTCTAAGAATTGTGGCTGATAACCCTGATTATGAAGCCACGCCCATTCCATGGATCACACACATCATATCACCTTCACCTTAACTTACACAACACGGCATGTTATATCAATATGTTATATGTATATACCTACACTCAAGGCCCTTATATACCCCTACCCAAGATTCTTACCCTTACCTACACCATGGAACCCATGGGCCTACACTACAAAATAAAATGAATATGGCGCGCTGCCTATTTACACGCGTCAATTATGTCATTGATGCGTCACAATACCTACCTGTCAGCCATATTGGAAAACAAATGCTCGTTTTTCTAAATACTCATTCTGGCTTTTCTAAGGCTTGCCGAGCTTAGAAATTTTTACCATTAAGTTCAGAAGACAAAGTTGAGGGGTAATTTGAGTTTTAACAAAAATTGAAGGGGTCCGCTCTCAAATGACCTTGACCTTTGACCCCTAATATCTCAGCCCCCAGAGCTTGCCGAACTTAGATAATTTAGGATATTAATAAGAGTGTCTAGATGCATCAGCTCACAAAATTTCATTAAAATCTGAGGGGTCCGCTGTAAAAGGGTCACGTGACCTCCACGTGGCTGCAAACTTTGACCTGACCTAACTTCCAGGTCAGGGCTTGCCGGGCTTAGATTTTATGCCCATCGTGCTCAGCATGTCAACTTGCATCTGTGTGCAAATTTTGAGGTAATTCTGAGGGGTCCGCCCTCAATGACCTTGAACTTTGACCCCTAATATCTCAGCCCCCAGGGCTTGCCGAGCTTAGATAATTTTATTCTGTGATGACCAGGTCATGTTAAGTGGCTGGTGTAAATTTGGTGAGATTCTGAGGGGTCCGTTTTTATCATTTTTTCCATCGAATATGAATCTGGAATCTGAATTTGAATTTGAAGCTAAGTATATAAACGTCTCTAGACGGCAGAAATGTCGCAGAAGTGAATGAGAGTCTGTCGTGTGTAGTGCGTGTGTGATAGTTAGGACGGAAGTTGCTGGGATTCTTGTTCGAATTTCGCCCCTCTAAAAAAAACTTTAAAATATATTGTGCTACCACCCTGACTTCTACAATGAGTGATTCCTCGCCTAACACCCAGAACATAGCAGATTATTTGGCACAATTAATTAAAGACAGAAAACAAATAACTGCTTTCCCAAGCGTCTTTTTGCACGTTGAAAGGCTTCTGGATGAAGGTGAGTTTTTCAATGTGTAAAACTGTATATGCTAGAGGAATGAATAATGATGTTCTTTGTTAATAGATGCCCGGGGCTAGCTTATATAGGTGGCAGCTTATATACAAACAATGTGATACATCACTCATCAGTAATACCTACATTCCATTTTCCATGATTGTGATGATGCATGCATCTGGCAGATAAATGTGAACTTTGAATACATTTTCAATAATGCTGCGCTGACGATTGTTTCAGAAATTGCCAAGATTCGTGGCAGCCTGTTCCAAATATCGGGAAATGCCAAGCCTGAGGCATTACCTGAACCACAGGGAACTGTGGTCAACCTCACAGAGAAGGTCTACGTTCCAGTACGGGAACACCCAGATGTGAGTACTAAAAGTGAGATCCAAATGTGACTGCCACATCTCTTCTTTCCAACTTGAACTCATTTCTTTAGCCTTTTATCATATGTATAGATAGGTATGGTGAAATATTGCAGCTTTCTTTAAATGTACTGCCCATACTTTTGCTATTTTTAAAATAGAAACTCTGCAGGAATGATGGTCATTTTGACTGCTTGCTATGTACGTTCACACAATTCAAAATGTAATTTACACAATTGGGAACAGTTTGAATGAATTGAGCCAAGTTGACAATGGGGCTCATTTGAGGTACGGCTTGGGCTGTATGGGCAGATGTTCCATTTATTGTTGAAAGAATGGCTATTTTTTAAAACTATTCCAGTACTATGAATAGTTTTGATTACCACATATGCAGCCATTTCTGAAGATATAGGACAACACATCAAAGGGTCATCTTTAGGGTCAGCTCCGTATGCTTAGGACCCAGCCCGTCTCGAGATCGAGGCTTCGTCATTTCGTCGTCATCATCCCCCCTCACTGGGTGCTGTATTTGCGGCGTTTGTCCGCAGCAGCGGCAGCTCCTGGTATTCCTGCCTCAGTGGTGGGTCCCGCACCCCGCACTCCTCTGTAGACGCCCCAGCTCTGAGGGCCGGTTCGGTGGCGGCACGGCTCATTGCCGCTTCCGCCGGCCCGGTTCTGAGGGCTCGCTCAGCAGTGCCCTGGCGGCCGCCGTGACGCGGCCACACAGCTGACTCGGCGCGCTGCGGAGCGGATGCCGCTCGGGCGGTTGAGTCCCAACCCGCCGGCTGCTGCTGCGGCTCGCCACCTACCCCGGCCAGGCGCAGTGTTTGGTGTACAGCCCACCGCTAAAGTAATGTAGGGTTTTACCAATCTCAACGGTTGGCTTTGACTGGCGATTGTTTAATGCGGAGTGATCGAAAAGAAGATGTCAAAAGCTAAAGTTGCAGCTGCAAGGGTGACGATACATACAGGGTGATCCAAAAAATTTGGAACCCCTAACTTAAAATGTCTATAAGTCCAAAAGTATTCACTTTATTGACAAATTGCGAACACCATTAGAAAGAGCATTAAATTCTCTATAAAATCACGTCAAATTGGTGCATGTATGTTGTAAAGCATTGGCACACTATTAGTTTTTGGAATGAGCGTCAGAAAACTGAGTGAAACGAAATCGCCAAATGTTACAATGCGCTGAAATCCGTTAGCACTCTATCTGTTGTCTTTTTGCGAATAACACCACATCCAAATTCAATTTTATTACATAAAAGTTTACACAGAAGCACACAGTAGAACAGATACACGCGTCCTAACTCCTAGCTTCCGCTGTTCATCTCAGCATGTGCTCAACGCAAGCTCCGTGGGCCGTCACGCAGGCCTGCAGTTGCTTGGGGACAGCTCCGACTGCGCGGGCCAGCAGTCTCTGGGACAACTGGTCCCAGCCAGTCACAGCAGGCCGTCAGCCTTTCCTTTCCTTACAATAGCACGTGAATGCGCTATTTTTATTTATGAACCTCCAACAAGCGACATGTTCAGAACAGCAAACCGTCAATCACTGATTTGCGCATGATGTTCGAAACCGTTTCACTGAGTTTCGTGACACAAATTTTATAGGCATATGTCTAGGGCAATATTAAGAGTAATAATTAATTTCAATCAACTTGGTTTTATAGAGAATTGAACGCTCTTTCTAATGGTGTTTGCAATTTGTCAATTAAGTGAAAATTTTCTGACATACAGACATTTTAAGTTAGGGGTTCCAATTTTTTTGGATCACCCTGTATAAGCTACTAGTACTACTACTAGTACTAGGATTGACTATTAAGTAATGGAAGTGCCTTAAGCAATTAAACGTTTTTGCACGTGCACATGTTTTTTTTGGTGTCATTTCATGCGCCGATGTTTTTTCTATCCAATGGTGAAGACCACATTTCCTTAGCTACTTTTTGCTCCAAGCTATCGTCGTTTTCCCAAGAGACCACCCGAACCTGCGGCGCACCATGAAAAAGGAGTCTGGCAATGGCCAAAATCGCGCGCCAAGCGCCAGCGCGAGGTCATCAGAGCTTATTGGCTTATTGTTATGGCTACACAATGGACAATTTCTATATTTTCATCAAAACAATACACATTGGCACGATAAATGACAGCATACACTACTCCACATAATCGCCTTCAAGCATCACACACCATTCCAGCCTCGTCTTGACCCACTCCTGGAACGCCGCCAGAAGACTGATCGGCGCTTTCTTTCTCAAACCGATGAAACCACCGACATATCGTCTGTGGGGAGGCTGCGTCGCTCCATACACTTAGAAAAGAAATTTTCTGATCTTGGTAGGCCTTTTCCCTACAACAAACTGAGCTCTAATGACCTTGCACTCGGCGCTGGCGCGCGGCTTTGGCCATTGCCAGGTGGTGCGCCACAGGTTCGGGTGGTCTCTTGGGAAAACGACGATAGCTTATAGCAAAAAGTAGCTAGGGACATGTGGTCTTCACCATTGGATAGGAAAAAGATCGGCGCATGAAATGACACCTAAATAATGTGTGCACGTGCAAACCCGTTCAATTGCTTCAGGCACTTCCATTACTTAATAGTCAACCCTAGTACATTCAAAGTTTCATTGTAGTCTGGCTAATCGTTCCTAAGCTTCAGAAGCAGAACATACCCATGACTGAAACCCCACATTACTTCTGCTGTGGACTGTACATTGTCGGCGGGCCGGCTGGCGAGGATGGGCGTTTTGCCGCGCCCGTTGCTGCGATAGGTACTGATCGCCTACCGTGCATTCAGTGTGACGGTCTGTTGCGGTCCGCAGTGACCCACTGTGGTCTGCGGTGGCCATGTGTGGTCCGTTATGGTCCACTGTGGTCCTTCATGGTCCGCTGGTCGGAGATGGCCAGGTGGCTGGGCTGTGGTCCGCTGTGATACGTCATCTAATTGCAGTGACTGGAAGCACCGCCTCAGCGATGATACGGCGGCTGGGCTCTCTCCTCGCTAGGCCGTGATGCTGTAATGGGAATACTCTCTATACGAATATCTTTTACAGATGGTTTGGATATTCTTGGATTCGCCGGCTGAACGAAAGTCAACATTTTAAGAGCCAACCGTTGTCCCTGTTCATTGACCATCAGTCAGCCTCCATTTCTTATTCCCTGCATGGTCGTCACCTGGCCCCCATCCCCCGACCACCTCTCGTTCTCGGACTCTGTGCCCTATGTCGGCCAGAGACCCCCGGAGGTGCCTCCGATGACGTCACCGACCTACGTCACCGGGGCGGCCGCAGACGGCCCCTGTTGCCGCTGCGGAGGACAGAAATAGTCGCCGGCTTCCGCGCGCTGGGAGCTGCTGCGCGTGCCCGTACGGGGGACCATCAAAGCGTCCAAAACCGCAGCATCCAAAGTACGCAACATCCAAAACCGCAGCGTCCAAAGTACGCAACGTCCAAAATACGTCCAAAATCGGGTATATAGGGAGCATTCACAACGTCCAAAACCGAAACATCCAAAACCGCAACATCCAAAACGTATCATCCAAAAAACGCAACATCCTAGGACGCATCATCCAAAGAACGCAACATCCAAAGTACGCAACATCCAAAGTACGCAACATCCAAAACCGTTAGGTTAGGTTAGGTTAGGCTAGGTTAGGTTAGGTTAGGTTTCCTTATCCCCGGTAGGCATAAATCAGTAGGTTAGGTTAGGTTAGGTTAGGTTAGGTTGGGTTTCCTTATCCCCGGTAGGCAAAAACAGTAGGTTAGGTTAGGTTAGGTTAGGTTGGGTTAGGGATAGGCAAAAATCAGTAGGTTAGGTTAGGTTAGGTTAGGTTAGGTTAGGTTGGTTTTGGATGTTGCGTGCCTTGGATGTCGTGGTCTTGGACGTTGTGGTTTTGGAGATTACGTACTTTAGGTGTTGCGTTTTTTGGATGATACGTTTTTGGACGTTGCGTTTTTGGATGTTTCGGTTTTGGACTTTGTGAATGCCCCCTATAAACCCGATTTTGGACGTATTTTGGACGTTGCGTACTTTGGACGCTGCGGTTTTGGATGTTGCGTACTTTGGATGCTGCGGTTTTGGACGCTTTGATACGGACCCGCCCGTACCTAGTCCGTACTCCCGAGGCGGCAGCTTTAGTGGGCTAGAACCAGTGAACGCACTTCCCCTCTGAATGATCTGTGAAGGAATGCTTTTTCTTTTCTTCTTGTTAATTGAAAGCATTGAAGATTGTTTTATTACTTTGGCTATTTGGGGCGCATCTTTAATGTTTACTCTACATAGTCCTAGCCCGGCTGCATAGTGTGTTATTTCGTCATCATTCTCCCTTTTCGTTCTGTGAAGTCAGCATCATTTAACGTCGACCTTCAATCGAAATGTCACTCCCAAACTCAAGATAAACCTCTAATTATAAACCGTCGGCCACCTCCTCCCTACCCTTGACCCGTGGGCTATTGAAAATTGCATTAACGTCATCATCAGTGAAATCTTTCGGATTAGTTACTACCAAAATATCCACCCATATATCTGTTGTTTGCCATTCATCAGCTGACCCAGTATTCATTTACTGAATGTTTCTGTTTTATATCTCTGTTCCTCCGAGCGAATCACGATCGCTCGTGTACGAGTTTGTGGCGTCACACACGCTCTCTGTCACCTCGCCTCTGCCGCCCAGCTCGTCCGCTTCGTCTCCGTTCGTAGACGGATCGTCTTCGTTCGAAGACGGATCGTCTCCGTCCGCGTTGGACGTTTTCGGCCCATTGCTGAGGCATGCGTCATGGTCCTGGGATCGGTGGCGGATGTCAGATGTCAGCTCTGAATGACAGGCTGACAGCGGGAGGGGCTTTGAGATCATAGGCGTTTTTGAAGCGTTTTTACACCTTGTGAAGAGAGCTTCGGCGTTGGAATAAGACTGAAAAGAGCTCTTTTGAATATTTTTCTTGAATTCCTTTTGAATCTTGCAGGGTCAATTGATGCCGATGGCATGTGGTCAGTCTACATAAGCGTTTTGTGTT